GACCTCAGTCCTAAGGCTTTTCAGGGTGGGGGAGAATCGCAATAGAATAGGCATCAGCTTTCCAGTTGTGTGCTTTAGGGTCCTGGTCAGCACCAAGGGGCAGTAATTAGTCAGCGCGGCTGGTTGTGAGGTCAGCCAGGGCATCGCTGATCTGGTTTTGCTGCTTTTCTGTGCCTGGAGCTGAAACACAGCTCAGGCCTAGATGTATTCGATGCAGATCAGATAGATCCGCATTGTTCTGGGGGCTTAATGCTCAAGGGCTATTCTCTGGCTCCCTGTTCATTCTCCCACTAGGGGGGTCTAACCCCCATGACTAGCAACCTGCCAGGGGAGGAAAGGTCACCCTGGGGGACGGGTAGCGGGCAGCTGTTTTCTCAGTTTCTGCCGTGGTGACCTTCTGCCCCTGGCCCACTGTCCTTGCTTGGGACTGACTGTCTCTCTGCCTGCACAGAACAATAAATCTCTTCTGTTATCATTGTGATTATCATTGTCATTGCTCTTCAAATAAATTGGTGGAGGTTTCCTGGTCCCTTACTATCCTCAACAGTCTAGAACTTTTCTGGGGGTGCCGCTATTGAAAAGGATCTGATTTGGTGGGACAAGAATTGTGCCCAAAGGCATGTAAATGAATAAAATTTAATCCCAGGGAATGAGGCATAACCCTGGAATCCCAGTCATCTGGGAATAAAGGCCCAGTTGAGTCTCCATTGGGAGAACTGGCACCTTCCCTATGTCCTCGACCTTCAGACTCCTGACGTTCTTTCATGGAGAGCGTGGGAGTGAGAAGAAAGATCCGGATTCAGGCCACAGAAGGAAAATGTCTCCAACACAACAAGTGGGGAAAAGGTTGGGATGTGCGTGCCTTCCACGCAGTGGATCGGATCTCCTGTTTCCTGTCCTCGGGCTGTCATTGCCTCTCATCTGGTCTTTCCAGGCCGCTTGTGTAGCAGGTTGTGTTCTCCAGTTCAGTTTATGCTGGCTTAGGTGAGTATTTGTGTAGCAGGGACTCTCACCGGGGGTTGCCTATCACAAAGATCGCTTCCCACCGAGGTCCTGATTTACTTTGGGGTGTGGCATGGGAGTTGGGATCTGCTTCTTTTAAAGAAACTCCAGTGATTTATTGTGCTGTCAAGGTTGAGCACCACTGCCCAGATGTGCATACAGACCCCTGGGGACCTCGTCAAAGTGCAGCTTCTACATTGGTAAGTCTGGGTTAGGCTCTGAGATGTTGTGCTTCTCGCACACTCAGGTCCTGCAGATTGTGCTGGCCCTGTGAACGTCAAGGAGCAAGGGCTTGGAAAACACAAAGGAGTATTCCCTTGCCCAGTAGCATCCCAGGTTTCCTGTTATTCACATGATAAGATGACTCAGTCTGGCACCTTAGGCTGGCACCAGCTATTTACGCTCCTCTAACAGCAGTGATCATCAAATATCATCTGCTTGACCCAGGGCAGGTGTAAAGAGATACAGGTCCTAGGCACCACACCAGGCCTGTGAAGTCATATTCTTCAAGGAGCAGCCTGCACAGAGTACTTTCAAAACAGTTTCGAGCGGTATACACAATCCATGAGATCTGGGAGCCACGATATTCTCCCAACATACTTTTCCAAGTTCATTTCCTATTCACTCAACCAGAAAATACTCATTGAACCTGCCTCATATCAGGTGCAAAGGAAACAAGATGGAAGCAAGGCAATCCTTAGTCTTGAAGGGTTGGCAAGACAAATGACCCAAATAAGACCATTTACCAGTCACTCTTCCCTGGACCGAGCGTGAAGGCGGCCAGCTCTGCTGAGGGCTTCTGCTTTCATGGATGCCTGGGCCTGTCAGTACTCCGTCGGCCCTGCTGACCAAGCCAGATGCCCTCTTCCCTGCACTTGAGTCTTTATACCTGTCTGGTCATCCCTTTAAATGTACCTTCCTGGGTCTTAAAAAAGATTCAGAGGAGAGACAGGATTCACCCAAAGCGGCACCCTAACCATGAACATACACATCGTCATTCCCATGTGCCAGCCATTGTTATAAGCCCTTCACAATTGTCCCAATAACCTTCCGACAGCTGTCAGTGCTGCGCCTGTTCTGTGGCTGAGCAGCCAGGGACAGAGAAGTCCGGTAACTTGATCAAAGACACACAGCAATCAAGCCTGGTTTGCTCTCAAGTCTTATGCTTTACTACCACGTTGGTGACGGGGCTGGAAGACGAGATAACTTCTCATTCCAGGCCTGGGGACTGTTCTGCAAATCAGTTATTGTGTGTTCGTTTCACAACTGAGAGTCGGCCATGAGCGCAGGGGCTGTGTCTTGCCTCTCCGGGTGCCTGGTTGGGATGCAAGCACATAGAAGGTGCTCTGCGCCCCCACGGGAGAGGTGGGGGGATGGGTAGTTATTCGAACAAACAGACAACAAATAAACAAACAAGCGCAGCAGCCTGCGGTCTGAAGTCACCCAAGCCCCAGCCCACCCCTCAGCTGGCCTTGCCCGGAGGAGGCCCCGCGCCCAGGTTGAGAACATCCCTCCTCCCGCTGCGCTCTGCGCTCCATCCTCCCGGCCACGAGGTGCCCCCAGACCCCGGGCTCCTCTGCCCTCAGAGCCTCATCTCCTTCTCTCTCCCTGCTGCTTCCTGCTTCCGGAGTCCGGGCCCTGAGCTCCGGAGCCCAGGCACCTGCGGCCTCTGTTCGCAGGGTCAGGTAACGGCGGCGCGAAGGGCCGGCTCCGCGGCCGGGTTGGGCGCTGGACGCAGTGGACACGGCCCGCCCGGCCTGCTGGTGGGTGAACGGGCGGGCAGATGGCCTGCCTGCGAGGGGCGGGGGGCTCCTGGGGCCTTGGGCGCCCGAGGCCTTGCTGTGCCTGCTGGGGCGCCGAGGAGGCCGGCCTAACGGCCCAGGTGCGCCCGGGCGGGCGTGGCCGGTCCGGTCCAGGGATGCGTTCGCGGTGCCCGCTCGCCCCAGGCGCGCCGCCCCGGGGCAGCGGACGGGAGGGAGGGGGCAGAGCCAGGAACCCTGAGCCGAACCGGCCAAACACTCCGTTTCTTCATCCAAGAGGAAGAAGCTGAAGCCCAGGGTGGGGTGACTCTTCCAAGGTCACAGTTGTATCTGCGATTTGCAACCGCCTGTTCTTTCATTGAAGTCTTTGTAAATGGGCCACTGTTCCCCTTGCCCTGCCAGGGAATTAGGATTCAGGGAAGAGGCCTCTAAAAATACTAATTGGCACATCCCCGTGAGCTGATCCGCGTCGCTGGCGGTGACCCGGCCTTTGAAAGGAAGCAGAGGAGGATTCTTCTCCCTCTGGGTACTTAGCATTTCTGGCTCCTGCTCTGAACACCGGCCTAGATGTTTCACAAAACTGAACTCAGAGCTGGGCCGAGTTAGAGACTTACCCTTTTCTCTCGCTCTTTTTGTAATGTCAATTAATTTTTTTTCTTTTTTCTTAATCCTTACCCAAGGATATTTTTCTGTTTATCTTCAGATAAAGTGGGAGGGAGGGAGACAGACAGACAGACATCCATGTGAGAGAGACACATCGATTGGTTGCCTCTTGTATGACCCTGACCAGGGCTGGGACTGAACTGCAACTGAGGTACATGCCCTTGACTGGAATTGAACCCGTGACTCTGGTTCCAGGGCCAACACTCTAACCACTGAGTGAAACCGGCCAGGGCAAAATTTTTTTTTCATTTACATTTGACAGTCAGTATTATTATATTAGATTCAGGTGTGCAACATAGTGGTTAGACATGAGTATAATCTACAAAGTGATCACCCCATAAGTCTAGTACCCAACTGGCACCATACAATATTATTGACTATATTCCCTGTGCTGTATTTTACATCCCTGTGACTGATTTGTCACTAGCAGTTTGTACTTCTTAATCCCTTCACCTTTTTCATCCAAATCCCATCCCATCTAGCAGCTGTCAAAATGTTCACTATATCTATGAGCCTATTTCTGTTTTGTTTGTTCATTTATTTTGTTCTTCAGATTCCACATATAAGTGAAATTATATGGTATTTCTTTTCTCTCTCTCTCTCTCTCTCTCTCTCTCTCTCAAGCTGAGGTTCAAGAGGTTAAAGTTTTGCCCACAAAATCTTATTGGCCATTTAGGGAGAGAGACAGAATTGGAACTCAGGTCTGTGATGGACACCCACTGTTTTCTTGAATAGAAATCTTATTTCAGATGATAGCTGTACAGAACTGGACCTTCGTGAAGCTTTCTCTGGATAACATTCTTGGGAGTGGCTTGTGTACTAAAGTGTATTGGTCCACAGATACTGTTTCACTTGTCAGTAGGATGAAGCAATAAGTGTAGCCATGCAGAAAATTCCTGCTGAGATGAGGCGGATATCTGAAATGTTTTTTACTTCTTTATTTGTACTTTTAACATTGCTCATGAATGTTAATAACAACATCTTGGTTATTTTTAGAATTTAGTCCTGTAAGACTAAATCAATTGTTACAGTCATTCTTGTCCTTGTATCTTTATCACCAGTAAAAATTCCAAAGCATAGTCTTCTGACTTTCATTTTAAATAATTGTCTTAAAGATATTTTTATATCTCAATGAAAGCTTCCCACTTGAACCTCATAATCCTGCTCCCCACTTTGTCAATCTTTGAGTTAGATTTCAGAACTGAATAGAACTAGAATTTTTTTCCCCTTCCAAAATATCTGAGCTCTGTTTAGTTCTCTATTTAGGTAGGTGCACCTCCAGTTTCAATTTTGACTGATAAATTTGTAACGCAAATGCAAACCTCAGCTGAGTTCAGTATCAGCCTAGAACCACATTAACCTGCCAGGTGTCATACGAGATCTGACCGCAGTGCTGGTGTATTTCCGTGAGAGCTTGTAACTGCGGTTTTTGACATGTGAACATGTTATCTTATGCATACACTATATTACATAGTACATATATTACTTGCAGTGTTGTCCAAGGTTATTGTCGACATTTGCTTATAACAACGTGTTGCATTAGTCTGCTAACTCAGAATGCTGTTCCCAGTTGCCAGTCTTCAGCTCTGATCAGTTGGCAGCATGTTATCTTTGAGGAACAGAGTCAGAAATGTAGCCACAATTCCGTGGAAGATCCTTGGCTGTGTAGATAAAGAAGCAGTGCTACGAAGGCAACATTCCTGTACTGTTTTATAGTAGAAATGAAGAAGATACACAAATGAACCCCATGCTGTTTTCTTAGGGTGCATTCTTTGTTGTTTTGGTTTTGGTCTTTTCACCATAGGATGGCATTAGCTCTGTGTCTGCAGGTCCTGGGCAGCCTGGGGGGCTGGCTCTCACTCTACGTTTCTTTCTGCTGTGTGAATAAGCACCGAAGCTATGAGTGGAGCTGCCGGCTGGTGACGTTCTCCCACGGACTCCTCTCTATAGGCCTCTCAGCTTATATTGGCTTCATTGATGGCCCTTGGCCTTTTACCTACCCAGGTAGGTGGGAGACAGATAATTTTTCCCTAAGGGATTTATAATTTGGGGGTAGTCTTAGAACGATAGGACTTTTCCTTTTCTCGGAGAACTTATACAAGATCAAAGAATATTGAAAAATAATTACCGTTATCATTTGTATTGGGAGTCTTCAGTGTTAGCTCTGATGTTGCATATGTCACTTATTGTTTCTGCTTTTCATAACTGTCTACCTTTAAAACAAATTTTAAATGCTTGTTATAATGTAATTCATAAAAATGTACAAAACAAAGCCAGTATAAACATCTTCTAAACAGACACAAATGGACAGTATTATACATACTTTTTGGTAACCAGCAATTTTTACTTGTTGGTATATTCAAAGGACATCATCTTTCCATGTTTATAGATATACATCTTCCTTTTTCTTTTTAATTATTTAAATACTATTATGTGGTATGCACTTACCATCATTTATGTAACCAATACCTCATTATTTGAGGCAGCTATATTAATTTTTCAGCTGCTAGATGTACAAGTGTTACTCTCTTAGGCGACAAAAGTTGTGTCCCCTGTATTAGTTTGCTGGGGCTGCCATAACAAAATATACAGACTGGGCAGCTTATACAACAGAAGTTAATTTTTTCCCCACAATTTTGGAGTCTAGAAACCCAAGGTCAGGGTGCTGGCTGGTTTGGTTTCTGCGGAGGCTTTGCTCCTCCTGTGTGCTCGCCTGGCCTGTGCCCTGATCTTGTTTTCTAAGGATTAGGCCACCACAGTGATCCTGGTTTAACTGAGTGACCTCTTTAAAGGTCCTGTCTCCAAATGCAGTCACATTCTGAGGTGCTGGGGTTAGGGCTTCAACATACGGATTTTGGGGTGACATCATTCAGTCCATAAGTCCCCTAAAGTAAGATTTAAAAAAATACCTTAGATTCCCCCCCCCTTACTTAGGTTTCTATATTGAACTTCTGAGTTTCCCCCCAAACTATCAAACTGATTTTACAGCAACTTTTAAGCTTTGTGTTTTATATGAAGGTTCTTAATGGATTCGAACATGTCAGATCCTTGTACCTTGTGTTCTTGGACGTGAAACACACTAATTTCTGAGGTTCTTTCCAAAGTCCACTTTTAAGATGGGTTAGGGTCACCAGTGTCCAGTAAATGAAGAAATTAATCTGGTATTCAGGACAGGATAATGAAAAGCTTTGGAAACAGAACTTTAGCTGGTTAAAAAAAAAAAAGGAAAGAAACTGTTAGGGTTTTAGCTGAAAGAACAAAATAACTCAGTTTTATGCTGCTACATAGAGAAGATACTGAGATCACTGCTGGTGCTTAAATCAGTTATGAGAGGTCTGATTCATCACACCAGCATTTCTGGGGCCTGTGACACTGTTTGCTTTGATAAAGAGCAAGGTTTTAGGTTCGAGTCTTTCTTTGGTTGTCATTAAAAAAGCATGTGAGCACCATTGTTTTTTATTTCAATATTTTAAAAAGTGTTGAGAGACAGTAACAGGGTCCCTGTGTCAGGCAGCACCATCCCCAGTCACTCAATTTGTTTCTGTCTTGGTTTATTTCAGGCTCACCCAATACACCTCTCCAAGTGTACGTTCTGTGCGTCACCTTGGGCTACTTCCTCTTTGACTTGGGCTGGTGCATCTACTTCCAGTCTGAGGGCGCTCTGATGCTGGCCCACCACACACTGAGCATCCTGGGCATCATCATGGCCCTGGTGCTTGGAGAGTCAGGCACAGAGGTCAACGCTGTCCTCTTTGGAAGCGAGATCACCAACCCCTTGCTACAGATGCGCTGGTTTCTTCGTGAAACCGGGCGCTACCACAGCTTCACTGGAGATGTGGTGGACTTCCTCTTCGTGGCTCTGTTCACGGGAGTGAGGATTGGCTTAGGCGCTCACCTCCTTTTCTGTGAAATGGCCTCACCCAAGCCCAAATGGTTTATGAAGGCGGGGGGCATAGCCATGTATGCTGTGTCTTGGTGTTTTATGTTACACATCTGGCGCTTTGCGTGGAGGAAGAGCATCAAGAAGTACCACGCCTGGAGGAGCAGGCGGAGTGAGGAGCAGCAGCTGAAACCTAAGGGGCATCTCAAGACACACTAGCCATGGGAACCAGGTTAGAAATGTGGCCGCTCTGGAATCACGCTTATCTAACAGGCTAGGTTTCAAAAAAGGGCTAAATTTATGGATCAGTTTTTAAGTGGAGCACATACTAGTATTAAAACATTAACTTCCATCTGGCCGGTGTGGCTCAGTGGTTGAGCATCGACCCAGCACCAAGAGGTCGCGGTTTGATTCCTGGCCAGGGCACGTCCTCCTGCTGTGGGCCCGATCCCCAGTGGGGGACATGCAGGAGGTGGCTGATCGATGTTCTCTCTCATCGATGTTTCTATCTCTCCCTCTCACTTCCTCTCTCTCTCAAATTAATAAAGGGGGAAAAAATAAAAAAATAAACACATTAACTTCTCCAGTGGTAGGCAGACTAGTCAGTGGTAGTTTGAATAAGTCAGAACTGCTTTCCTTTTCGTTTGTGGTTACTCTGGGCCCTGTGGTTCCCGGGCAGCGGGACATTCAGACAGCATGGAAAGGAGCTGGAAAAAGGGTAGTTCTGCTTCTCATTCTCTTGAGAGTGACCAGTTCAACAAACACTATCCTGCTTTCCATGCAGCGATTTAAGTGAATTTATGCCATTTACTATAAAGTGAGTAACTTTTAGGAGCATGCCTGCCGTTGGTGTTCTGAGCATTGGAGCGGAGAACTGAATCTGCCTGAACAGAGGGAGGAGAAGGAGAGAAGGATGGGGTGAGACGGGCAGTGGTAGTGGGTTACTTAGCCTTCCTGTAAAACTGTGCTGGGGTCTCCAACCACCTTCAGGTTCGGCACTTCCTGACTCAGCGTGGAGTTGTGCTTATAGCTTGGATTGCGTACAGTGCAAAGATAGAAAGAAAGATCCGCAAAAGGAGAAGACCCCTGGAGCAGAGTCCAGGGGAAACCCAGGCCCAAACTTCCAGCGTCCTCTCCCAGTGGGGTCGCACTGGATGTGCTTACTTCCTCTGACAGTGATTTGTGACAGTAAGTGTGAAGTGTCTCCTGAGTCGATACAGACTCGGTGCCCAGAGTTGTTACTGGGAGCTGGTCATGTAGGAAGCCTTTGCCTGGCAGGCAGCAAACTTCCCGGCTCCCAGAACGAAAGTAGATGTTCAGCATAAACTGTAGTGTTTGCACAGGCAGTTTGGGGCCAGTGAACCAGTCTGATCAGTTCATGGTTGGAGCCCTCCCCAAATCTGTGTTCCCTGAGGCCAGCCAAAGGACAGCCTTCCCAAGGACAGCAGTTCAGGCCTGCCATGTTAACTCTTTTGTGCTCCAAAACCAGAGAGCTGGGACGTGGATGTGAGATGGACGAGGTGTGGGCAGATTTACTGAGCACTGTTGTCCTGAGCTCTGCTCTACCAGGAAAACAACACCAGTTCTTGGGGCTTTGGTCGTGAACCTCCTAGGCGCGGGAGGCTGTGACTAAATTCCATAGGGATTTACCATGTGGACTTCACTGTGCTTGAGATGGTAGTTCAGTTTTCAGACTGCACACTAGAACTAAAGACTAAAGTATGTACTGGCCTCAGGGTAATGAATCTTTTTTTTTCATTTTGGATGCATTCCCTTTTAGTCCTCTTATTATTTCTTTTCTCTGGAACAGGTACCACTCTCTGTGGACAAAATATTATGACAAGGCCAGTTTAGGAAGGAAAAAAAAAATGAGTGTGATATTTTAGTCTCACCCAGGAAAAGCAAGAATGTAAGCTTAGAACAATAGTTTGAAATCAAGAACTCCTGGGTTCTTCTACAGAATGTTGTTACTCACTGGCCAAATCATTTGGGCAGTCCACTCATTTATTCTTTGCCTCTTGTAGGTCCTGGCGTGAATGAATGAAATACCCCATTTTGTATTTCAAAGTTATTATGTAGCATTTCATCAATGGAGGGCTTTAATGAAAAAAATTAAACATTATTTATTTAATTTTTGCTATTTATTTTACTTGATTATGTTGTTTAGATCAGTGGTGATGGATTATCTGTGTTGGTAAGCAAGTGAATAGGGCTACTGTATAGGGTGGAGGTCAGGGGGAAGTGTTAGGTCATCCTAGGTCACTGGTAATATTGACCTTATGAGAGTTCTTGAAAATGGGTCATTGGCCACACATGGCAGAGTGGTTGGAACCACATCAAGTCATCATCACTCAGGAAAAACAACTTTAAAGGCACGTTAAGAGTGGATCTTTTTAAAATGACTGTCATTTGGTTCAAGAGTTTTGCTGGGCATGGAAATACTCTGACAGCAACATCTCCATCTCTTTTTTTCTGTGATCAGAATCCTTAAAATGCTGGCCAGTTTCTTTCCAACAAAATTGTGGTCAAAGGAGGATGCTGGGGAGTGCTGATTTTAACAAAAGCCTAGCAAAAAAGAGTGGCTGGGAGCATGAGCTTAAAAAGAAAAAAGAAAGCTGGCTCTTAAATGTTGGCCCAGTGCAACCTGTTCCATACCAGAAAAATTAATAGGCTTAACTGGTACCAATTCTTTCCTCCTTACTCCTCCAAAGTGAAGGGACTGGGGATGGCAGATCTTGCTGTTTTGGGGTACTCATGTGAATGTATGTAGGGCTTTTGAATTTTGAGGAACCTACAGAATGATAAGGGAAAGAGAATCCCTCATTTCAGCTTTTCTTGATGCTGTAACTAATAACTATGAAGGAAACTCTGAGAGAAAAATGTGAAATGAAGATGACCAGCAGTTAAGATGCTGAGTTTCTATATCACAGGTAAATGAAGGGCTCATTAACATGTGGTATGGTCAGATAAAATGAAGTACTCATTTGCATTTGGATTACTATGTGATAAGTAATACCACTCAAGAGGATTTATATTTCAATAAAATTTGTACTGTTTTATAAAAATAAACAACTTTTTATCAATCTAGAGTATGCTTTTATATTTTTGTTGTGGTTTTGCCAAGAGGTTGGGGAAAAAAAAAAGTCTTTTGGCCAGTAGAAATGTTGATCTATGTTTATACATATCAGTGAAATGCCTCTTACCTGCTGCTTATCATCAACCATTCCCAACAGTCTTTACTTTGGGGAGCAGCAATCTATATACAGGAAACGGTTTGGCAAAAAAGAGAACTTAATTTCTTTCTTCTTTTGCCCCATTTGGGTAGTTGCCTTGAAAATGATGTTGAGTGGGCTCCGTGAAAACAGGGCCTTTGGCTCTCCAGAACTGTATTTCCAGTGCCTACAACAGTGCTCAACACTAAGCATGTTGAAAGAACGGTTGAGGGAGTGAGAATGTGGTTTAGAGGAAGTCCCACTGTAAAGCCAAAGGGCATGCACAGTGAATTGGGTCACCACTGTCATTTGTCTCGGTACAGAACTAGTGGCCCAGGCGAGTGTTGTGGAACTCTGAAGGGATTCTATAGATGGAGGCTTTAGGACAGTCTAGAGCTCCCAACACCTATAAGAGCTTTCAGGGACATTTTTACTATTAGAGCTTTGTGAGTGAACACAGAGATTTTCATTATTAAAGAAGAAAGTCCTGGGATGAGGAATGACTGGCTTAATTAAATCCTTTGCTTCCTGTCTTCTGAAACCTTCCCACAGCAAGACCTTCTTTGCTAGAACTTTGGGTCTGTTTAACTTTGGAGAGATCTTGAAAGCATTCTGCCAAGAACTTTTGTGTGCAGGGAAAAGAAGGTGAATCAGGAAGCTTTCCCAGTGTTTTATTCCCGAAACTCAAGTAGTGAGGCATTCTTGAAGGGAAGAAAGGAACTCATTTTTAGAAAGCATGGTCTGATGAGTCATTGGGTCCACTGTAAAATTAGGACAAGGCAAAAAAAAAAGATGCATATTTAATACATGTAAGAAAGATATGTTTGGGGATAAGGTTTGCATTTTGGTCATTGTATATAGATAAATGGAACTCTTTCCAGTTATATGTAGAAAATACGCAATTTAATTGTTTTCAGGACAGTTGTCATGCTATGGCGCACCAGCAGGTGGCGATGTGTCCCGGTCTGGTCATTAGGAAACGGGTTGGAACCCTAACTTGCTTCTGTTCTTTCCCAAAATAAACATTACAAAATAGGCTGGCTGTGCCCTGGACTTAGGGGGGGAAACAAAGCAAAGCAAAACCCACAAGCAATAAAGAGTCATCTTTGGCCTGTTTATCTTTTCCTTTTTGTACTTTTAACCCGTTAGTGTCAGCCTTGGGTCACATCTATGCCCGCGCGCTGGTCGTGGGGGGGACATCAGATCTGTGGGTGGGGGACACACACACACACACACACACGTTTAGAAACAGCCTGAAGAGGTGCTGGTTCCCCTCCCCACGCCCACTGCTCACTGCTCACTGCAGTTGCGTTGCCACTTGATTTCCACAAAAAGGCTGTGGTCCTGTACCCGTCAGCACAGGTTCAAACTCAAAAGTCGGAGAAACGGGGAGGAATACACTTGAGACGTGCGCAGGGGTCGGGGACCTACGCTGCAAGGGTCGTTCCGCTGGAACCGGACCGAAGTCCGCAATCACAGAACTGGACGGGGTGGAGGGGCAGCACCAGCTCCTGTGCGGCCTCTTCAGCGAGAGGCCGCCCCGTGCTACCAACACACGGGGTTCTCGACCCCCTTTCCGGCCGCCGCGCGTGCACCGTGCTCCCGGGCCGGGCAGGCGACGCCGTTCCTCTCCCGCGTCCGCCAGCGCGCATTTCCCCCGAAAGTCCGACCGAAGGCCCCGCGGCCAGCACCGGGGGCGGCCGGCAGGTGCGCCAGGTGAGGCGGCCGGGCCGGCGGCCCCGAGCGCACAGGCCCACCCCCAACGAGAGGGCCGGCGTCGGGGCTGGAGCCTGGCCCCCGGATCCTCGGCGTCGGGGCTGACGTCGCCCTAAAGGCTCAGGTGCCCGGGAGGCGCCCCTCCCCAGCCCGGCCGCCCTCCTTCCGCCCCGGCAGGACCCGCGCAGGCGGCGCGCACGCGGAGGGAGCGGCCGGCGGAGGGATCCGGGGAGGCGCCTCCCGGAGCCTGAGGCCGGCGGCCAGGGAAGTCGGCGGGGGACGGGACGCTGCTCGGGCGCGGCGGACCGAACCGGAACCGGAACTCGCGCGCCGGCCCCTCCGCGCGCCGCCCCCGTGCCTCCGGCGGCCTGTCCCGTCCGCTCCGCGAGGGCCGGCGCCCAGGGGGGCCCCGCCGCGGCCGTGCGAGCCGAGTCCCGCCGCGCCCGCGCGCTTCCGGCCGGACGGGAACCGCCGCCTCTCGCGGGAACGCCGCCGGCCGCACGGGGCGGGGCCGCCGGACTGCGGAAGCGCCGGCGGGATGGGCCTCGGGCCGCGGCGCTGAGCGCAGGCCCGTCCGCTGCGGCGCCCCCTCCCGGACCCGCGCGCCCCAGCGCCCGCCGGGGGCGGCGACACGACGACCGGCCCGGCCCGGGTCCATGGGGCCGCGCGAGCCGCGCGCCGGACGGCCCGAGACGCGGCGGAGGCTGCAGCGCCGAGCGGCCGCCAGCCCCCGATAGACGGACGGGGCGTGCAGGCCCCGCGCCCGCGAGGAGGAGGAGCCCGGCCCGGCCCGGCCCAGACGAGCCCGGCCCAGAGGAGCGCGGCCCTGCCCCGCGGCCCCTCGTGACGCCGCCCGGCTGTGCCCGCTGCGGCCCCGGCACCTGCCCTCCGGAGGCCTCGGCGCGGCCCGGGAGAGCGCTCGCTCGGCGCGGCCGCCCCGTCCCGCCCGGCCCCGCCGTCGGACGCGCTGGATGACCGCCGGCCCTGCGGAGCCGGAGCCGGAGCCGGAGCCGGGCCCGGGCCCAGAGCGCGGCGCGTGCAGCGGCCGCTGTAAGATGCCAGTTGGGTGAAGGAGGACCCCGCGCCCAGGCCCAATGAGCGGCACACAGCCTACGCCCCCCGACAGGTCAGCAGCCGCGCGCCGCCGCCCGCGAGGCCCGGCCGGGCGGGGGCCGGGGGCCGGGGCCGGGGCCGGGGCCGGGCGTCGGGAGGGCTGTGCGGCCCTGCGACGGGCCCGGCGGCCAGCGAGGTCCTTGGTGCGTTGCTTTGGGAAATGCGGTTTTTTCTGGAGAGAAACTGGCCCTCGGGTCCTCAGGGCCGGGCAGGTGGAGCCTCGCTGTGGTTTTCTGTCCGCCGTGTGCGCGGGGCTGGCGTGTCCGGGCGCCAGAGGAAGGTAACCGGGTGCAGGTCAGCGCCCCGAGTTGGCTGGGTGCTGGTTGTGCCCCTGGGCTGGGTTCTCCGGACCCCGGAGGGGCCCTGGGAGCGAACCTCGTGCCGAGACTCTGCGTGGTCGTCTGTGAACTTGATCTCGGAAGTGTCCTGCGCATTGTTTACCCGACGATTTTCCAGAAAGTCGCAGTTGCCAGTAAATCACGGGCCCTTGCTGGAGGCACTGTCAGAGCTAAAAAAAAAAGAGGGAAAATCACGGGGCTTTATTTTAATTGTTGCATTTTTTAGTATTTCATCCTCCAGAAACCTCAGTATTTAAGGGATACGAACCCCAAGCGAGCGCTGCAGTGGGAGCGAGGCGGGGATCGGGGAGCCCGGTGGGGGATCGGGGAGCCCGGGGAGCCTTTCCCCGCACGGCTCACGTTGCCCGTGGAGGGGGTGAATTGCGCTGGACCAGTTGTGGTTTTAGTGCAGTTCTCTTGGTCTTTATAATTACTCTTTTAAATATTAGGTTAAGCGATAAAAGCTTTTATTTTTTTACTGCATTTTATTTCTCAATTTAATTATAACATATCCTTGCCCCAGATTTCAGCTGTTTTTTTTTTTTCTTCAATCAACCTTCAAACTGGATTACGTCATAAAAAAAGATCAAATAACTGAATTGGGGGGGGGGCAATGAAAACTCTTTGATGAAAAGTGCAACAATAGTGCGCCTCAGAAAATAGTTGAATTCTCCAAAAGAGTTTCACCTAATTGTAAGACTCATTTGTTGATCTCAAAAGGGCCAGATTCCATGATCATACCCTAACTGCTACTCGGAAAACGGCACTTCCTCTTCCTGTTGATGCTTTCCAGTGTCCTGAATGTTTACCTAAAAAGATACCATTAAATATTTAAACTGTATTTATTTTTAGAGTGCATATTTTTAAACATACATTTTAGTTTTCAGTGATAGGAAATTTTCAACTTTTTGAGAGGACGTTTAACATGAATAACAATGCTTTTCTTGATTTCTTGTACTTACCCTCCTTACTTTTCTGGGTGTTTTGCTTCTGAGGAATCACTTTCATGGGTGTGTGTGGGTAATTGTTCTGGTTTATTCAGTTCCCTCCCACTCTGGTGCACCTGTAGACAAGAAGTCTTACTAGGAACTAATGTAGTGTTGGTAGTTTTCATTGCGATAATAGGGGTGTTTACTTTTGTAGAAACAGAATTTAGAGTCATCAATTCATTCCACACAAAAATCACCTACAATGCCCCCCCCCCCCCATGTAATGACCTTTCTTCCTCTTCTCAGAGGTTTTCTTACTATTTTCATTATCTTGGAAATAAAATCTTGGGATTTGTACCCTTTTAACAAATTAGTTGAGCTATAAATATGCAATAAGCATGCAGTGAAGAAATGCCTGTTCTTTGCCAGGCGCTGTGCTAGGCCCAAAGGATTAAATGATGTGGATTCTAAGTATAAGATGAATTTGCAAATTGGTTTGGGTATTAATATCCTTGAATTGGTTCAAGTGCACCTGATTTTACATATTTTTTAAAAGAAAAACCTTTAAAAGTCACTTAATTTAAGAAGCACTACAGTACTAATTCTTATGTGACCGTTACTTTTTCTTTAAACATATCACACAGACATCAAGCATCTAGAGTTTGCTCTTTCGGAGGGTTATTGTCTCTGGCTTGGTATATGCTGGGGCGAA